CATGAGCCCTTGATCATTTATAAATCGTTATTTTGTCATATCTTGCCCTGTCTGACGTCTCCCTTCACCCACTTATACCATGTCTTCTTAGTACAGATTTGTTTTACATCTTCCACCCCTCCACCCCCATTTCCTATTTAAAATGTCCACGATATATATTTTTAAATTATGTTTAAAAATTTCTGTTAACATCTTCTTAAATCTCACTTAGGAATATAATTTATGCTAGAATTGTCAATTAATAAATATTTACTGAATAAGCTCCAGTGTGTAGAACTATGAAGATTACAAAGACAGTGAAACAAAGTAGGAAGTTAGTTATCTATTAACACTCAGTATGCTTTTCTTTTATCTTAGCTCTCTTTAATTCATATAATAGAGATTTTGGATAGGATGGCTCTTCTCTTTATATTTAAGAAAGCTGTGGATAAAACAAAATGATACACAGTACAAGATAGAAATGGAATTTATACTAGTCACTTTAGGGTAACGATGGTGTTTATTCTAAGGATACCGGGCAGTGATGCAGGACCTTGAGGCTGTTGCGTTTTTCAGATTATCTTGTTTCTCTTCTCTGCCTGCTGACTTCAATCTCTCCTACTATTGATCAACGGGAACACCAATAGTCTCCAAGCTTCATAGGCTAGTTTAGACTCCGTAGGGACCCTGTCTGGCTTGATCGGAGTCAGTTTCCCACTCTTGAATCAATAAGTACGCTAAGTAAGGAAGAGCCAGGAAGGATCAAATAAGAGATATGACCACTCAGGTTTCACTTCTGGGATTTAGGGTTATTTCTCACCGTGACCTTAGGTAGTGCCACATCAATTAGTGATTCCAAATCTGACATTCTTGTCACTATCTCCACTATATGGTGGTATCATCAAGGAGATTGACAATTGCCGACATATTAATAGATGGGGTAATAGGCTGTGTTAGACCGGGTTGACTAGAGAAATAAATAAAGAGACAGTCATGTGTGTAAGAGAGAGCTTCATATCAAAGAGCAATTGTATATTGAGAAAACATCACAGCCCAGTCCAGATCAAGTTCATAAGTCTGATAGTAGCCCATAGGTCTGATGCTCGTCCATAAATCCCTCTTTAGATTTAAGCAGCACATGCAGTGATGCCCAATGAAGGAAGATCACAGGCCGGTGGTTGGAGAGTCTTGTGGATCTAGTGGTGGTGCAGTCATCTCAACACTGGCGCTGGTTCCTCCAGCTTTCTTGAGTGTCACCTCCACAGGCGGTAAAGCAGAGAGAGAGAGTAGCCCACCTTCAGGTTGAAAGAGGAAGTTCCCAGAATCCTCATGAGAAGGTCACACCCACAAGGAGACATTATCAAGCTGTGATCTGATGGAGAGCATAGACTCCACCCTTAAACCTGTTTAACAAGTTGACATGAAATTATGTAGCTACTACATAGGCCCTATATCAATATAGGAAAGGCAGTACAAGAATCAATAAGAGGGTTAGGTCAAGATCTAGTCTGAAGTACGTGTTACTTCAGTTTGAGTTCATGAAAAGATTTCATGAAGATAGGCATTTGAGCATTTCATAAAGATTTTGAAAGGTAAGCTCATCTTAGAAAATAAAGTATTTTAAAAATAGAGTGATCAGCATAAACAAAAGTAAGAATAACTGGCAGTGTGAATGCCTAAGGAGTACCCAGGATTCAGATCCGGAGTTTTCTGTCTACAAAACCCATGTTTTTGTTTCTATTAACACTATATCACCTAGTGAAATAAATAATACATTAAATGATTGGTGACACTAGAAATAGATGAATTTAGCAACCACTGTACAAGTACATATGTAAAATTAAAGGGCCTAAATTAGGATGGAAAGAATGGCATACTGTCAAAAAGAAATACAGATGGGAAGAGTGCTACTGTCACTGAGTGAAGGAATCCATTTTGTAGATATATGCTGTTTTTAACTCTATTAAATTGATAACAGCCTAAATTGAAACACTCGGGGATGGAACTTGGGAAGTAGTCAGAGCTTAACAGTTTGGAGGAAGATGTGAAACCACTTGTGTTTTTTAAGGGAGTATGTGTGATTAAGGAGTGGGTGTTCTACAGAAATATCCACAAATATGACATGCAGGTACAATTCTTATTTTTTATATGTCGCTTACAGTCATGTTCTGTTTTTTGTATTTCCTTCCAAAGTATATTATGCATGTCTTCAAGATTGGCAATCAAGCTGTATTTAACTTTAATATTTGTATGCACTAGGCTCAAAATCATATTCAGTAAGAAAATAAATAAAACATTTTAATGAAGTATTGCAAAAATTTTAGATTATGATGCTTTACACAATTTTATTAAGTTTTAGATGATTTTTATTTGCTAAAATGTGTGCTTTTATATCAATTATACCTTACTATTTATTTTTACCTAAAAACCTAAAAGCTCTTAGCTTTATCCATGAATATTAACCTTACCGTATTTTAGAAAAGAATCACTTTAAGTGGTCCGCAGTTCAAAAGAACTATATCATAATGCAAAGCCAAATGATCTTATTTAACATAAAATTTCATGTTCTATAGATTTTGTAGAACAGTACTGTTATATACTTACAGTTTTAATCCAAATTTGGTATCTTCATAGATTAAAATGAAAACAAAACAAAACAAAAAAACCAACCATTTCTTTTTTTTTGAGAGTTTAACGCTGATTTTAAAATGTGCAAATAAGATATTAAGTCAAGATTTCTTTTTGTTTTGAGGTATTATGATTAATTTTGGTTGATTGAGAATAGAATATCTCAATCAATCAGACATCTCCTAGGCATAGTACCTTGTGATTGGAATTCATTTCTTATCACTAGAAAATTAGCAATTTCTGAGCTCTCTTTTTGTCCTAGCTTCTGTTAGTCTCATGTGAGTAGTACAGTAAGTTTGGGGATTACATACACACTTGGTATACATCTCAGCCTGTGGACCATAGGACCAGGGAAAGGTAGCTAAAGTTTGTATTTGAATAAACTGTATTTTTGATATTTCTCTTTTTTCTCATTTACAGGGAGTTGATTTTCATATGGAGCAAACTACAGCTTAAATGTAATCCTTCAAAACAAGTTTTTGTAGATCAGTGCTACCAGCTTTTAAGAACAGCAACTAATGTGAGAGTCATATTTCCTTTCATGAAAATCATTAAAGATGAGGTAAATAGGATATATTTATCCCTTGCTGCTTAAACGGAATTTAAATGACAGTTCACTGAAATGCAAATCTTTGACAATGAAATTTATTTGATTATAAAATTCAAGGGAAGAGGATTTTAAGTTCACGTTCTCAACATACCCATCTTTTCCTCCTTGCTGCCCTTGCTCCAAGGTCCCAAAATGTTACAAAAGGTATATATAAGTGAAAATAACTGAAAAAAGAGAAAAAATAAAAAAACAGTTTATTAACCTATAGAATTGGGGGGGGGGTGATTGCTTCCATAAGACTTATCCAGGTTTAGATTCTTAACTAATTTGTAAATTAAATTATACGTAATACCTGTCTGCCCAGAATCATAGCGTTTATGTAGAAAGCAAATGAATTCTAAGACATGATGTTAAAAAATTTTCACTTTGGGGAACCTAAGGCCAGGTTTTTAAAGTGTTTGCTTGAAGTAAATGTAACAGCTTATTAGTGCTGATTTTACTTGCTTTGGGCCCACTTGCAAATGAGTACAGTTCTACACAAGACACTCAGATAACCATGAAAATGGATCCCAAAGTCCTTTACCCTCATAGAATATTAACAACCTGAATACAAACACAGGAAAAGGCCATCTTACATTTAGCTAACTCTACTTACCTAAAACTATGATTATAAATAATATTAAATAATTTTTAATTGAATGGATTGTTTAATTATATATTTAAATGATTTTAGGTATTTTTATGTTTATCACACCCATTACCACGTCATTAGATGTCTGACTGTGAACTGATCATATCATAGTATACTTGACAGCATTGTATCCAAGTGTTTGATTTTCTTTCATGTTTATTTGGCTAATTGCATTCATAGCAACATTAATAAGTAGTAAAACACCCAACACACTCAAAATTAACTTCTCTTGCCCCTAAAAATGGAATAATAAAAGAAACTGTTTTTGAACACTAATTTTCAACATTTGATGTAGCACCTGTATAGAACCTTTTATAAATACAGATATGTTTGGTTTTTTTTAAATACATTTAATTTGTATTTATACCAAAGGAATGGAACATTACTATTGAAAGTTGACAATATAAGTGAAGTTCAATAATTTATATACACCTTCACTACATATCTGGTTAATCTACAAATACATTATAAGGGGACAAATTCATTACATAAAAGGATGTATCATGATGTAAAAACATGTATAATGATAATAATGCAGGCTACAAAAATGATTTTTTATTACATGGAATTGATCATTTTGCTTCAGTGCTGTGGAATTAGGCATAGTTACAGTGATATGTGAGTTTAAAATGAGACATTACTGAAAGTATATCTGAGAATTCACAGAGAACAAAATTTTAATTTCTAGATGAGGATACTGCTAACACTGTGTAGAGGACTTTATAGTTCACAAAGCACTTTTATCTCACTTGTTTCTTATATCTCGGATGGTATTACTAAGACGAACAGATGTATATGGGAAGGTGAATGAGACTATTCAAGAGAGACTGGTAGTGGCGGTGGTGTTGGATCATACAGGGATTTAAATACAATATTAGATGTTGCTACTTCAATTCTTAAATATCCTGGAACCACTACAGAATTTCTGGTTAGGAAATGGTGTATTCCCTTTTGTGATCTTGAGATTTGAAAACTTGAAATATTGATCACATAATGATTTCATGACTCAAGATATAGAATATAGATGGTATTTTGGAGATAGAAAATGAATTCAGTTTTGAACCAGTGAATTTGAATTCGCTGTTATCTAGAAAGATGTCCCTTGGGAGTGAAAAATGGCTAAGCACTGGACTACAAACTGAAAGGCTGGTGATTTGAACCCACCACTCCTAGGTGTTTAGAAAGGCCTGGTGATCTTTCAGAGTATCACTGCCAGAAAAATCCTATGGTGCTATTATTCTATTTTGTACACAAGGGGTCACCATGAATTGGGATTGACGTGATGTAACTGATTTAGTTTTTGTGTTTTTCAAATCTAGAAAATTTTGGTGGGAATGTGTCATAGACAGAAATAAGAAAAATGGAATTCAGAAAAGGATTCCAAAGAGGACGGATTAATAGTAGGAAACTAAGATTAGTGAAGATGTACAAACATTTATTATAGGTCACTGTGCCAATTTCTATGTTAACGATAACGGAGTAAAAAAACTGAGATGTCAGTCTTGTCATCTAGTAATTTGATGTTGGGATGGCATACATAAAACAACATCTAAGTGCTTGTAGAAATAAAAGAGGGCTTCAAAATGATAGTGGCAAATTGGAACTAGAAGATAATCAAAGTTTCTACAAACTTTAGAAACCCTCTATGAGGCTCTAGTAGGACAAAATAGAACCGCTCTATTGGTTTCTGAGACTAAACCTTTGTCAGAGCAGACAGGTCTGATTTTCTCCTCTGGACGGACCAGTGGATTTGAAACCCCTCAGGTTAGCAGCCTAACATTTACCTCACTGTGCCACCAGTACTCCTTAATAGGAGGACAGGGCCAGAATGACTGGGGAGAAAACTTTCTCGTAGAACTGAATCTCAAAGAATGAATAGATCTATGGAATTCACCAACTGAAATAAATTAGGAGTATGGTGTGCAAAGGTTTGCTTGTAGAAATCTAAGTAGTTAAACAAAATTACACAGAAGGTAAGGAACTTAGAGGAGGATATGAGAAATAGTATTCTTTGTAATCTGTCATATGCAGGCAGTATACTAGCACTGCCATGGCATCAATTCTGGACTTTTATCTACCCTATCTCATTCTAAGACAAACTATATTTTTTCTCATTTAAATAAGCATTTACTCTTTGAACTATGATAGATAAATAACAGATTTCCAAATAAACTATGATGCATTGAATTTTTGAGTTATTTGTTTTAAAACTTGGATAATTTTCAGGTGCCTTTTAGTAGGCTCATTGTGATAATTTGGAAAAATTTCAAAAATTTTAGTTACCTTGTTCATGTGCTCTCCTTTCATGTATTAAAACACAAATAATACTGATAAATTGATAAATGTGTTTACATTGTTTTTTTCTGTCAGAGAATGTGGGATTTGTAGCAAAAACAAAAAATTGGGTCTTGGCTTTCAGGAAACAAATTCTCCAATAAGTGTATGAAGCATTGCATACTATAATTCATGGGGCTTTAAAACTTGAAAATTAATTAAAGTAGAAACTAAAGATGTATATATTAAGGAATTCAATGAGGTTTACTTATTATCCAAAACTACATATTTGAAATACTGTTTATTCAGCTTTCACTTCCGAGTTTTCTAAAAAGAACTCCAGTTAGTGACGAAGTCTTGGTGACATCGTGGGTGGTGCTTTTGGCTGCTACCTTAAAGGCTGGCAGCTCAAACCAACCAAAGAGTATGATGAAGTTTCTGTTCCTGTAAAGAACAGAAAACCCCTAGGAAGCGTTTCTTCTCTGCTCTATAAGGTTGGGATGAGCTGAAATAGGTACAATAGCATAGGTTTGGTTTGTTTTAAAATGCAACTAGTCAACTTTTTCTTAAAGCATTTAGCAGTGATATTTTTCTTTATACAGGTTGAAGAAGAAGGCTTACAAATTTGTGTTGAAATATGTGGTTGTGCTCTACAACTAGACCTTCATGACGATCCCAAAACTAAATGTCTCATCTATAAAACAATTGCTCACTTCTTGCCAAATGATTTGGAGATCCTCAGAATTTGTGCACTCTCAATATTTTTTCTTGAGCGTTCCCTGGAAGCATATCATACTGTTGAACAGCTTTACAAGCATCCAGATGAAGAATATAATGAAGGCACAAGTAGTGTTCAAAATCGTGTTCGCTTTGAGTTACTTCCAATTTTGAAGAAGGGGTTGTTTTTTGATCCTGAATTTTGGAACTTTGTAATGATTAAGAAAAACTGTGTAGCATTATTGAGAGATAAATCAGCAGTTAAATTTTTAAGTGAACGTACACTGGAAAATTCCACAGGCAATCTGAAAAAGACAGTGGAACGACAAGGTTTCAATGAAGGGCTTGACTGTTTTACAGATCCCACTACTGGAGAGTTTTACCTTGATGACATATTTGGAGTGCAATCTAAAGGTCATACTAATCCAAAGAAAAGCTTAACTGTACTTAATGCTTCTAAAGTAGATCACAATGTCCCCAGGCATCGGTGTGTGCTATGCAACAAGGAGTTTCTAGGTGGTCACATTGTAAGGCATGCCCAGGCTCATCAAAAAAAGGGCAGTTTTTCATGTGTAATATGTGGAAGGAAATTTAGAAACAGAGGACTTATGCAGAAGCACTTAAAAAATCATGTTAAGAAAATTCAGAGACAGCAAATTGCTGTAGCTCAACAGGAGGATCAGGCAGTCCCTGTTTTGGAAGAAATAAATTGTTCTGATTCTTCAATTTCATATGAAAATGGAAATACTGATAATAAGAATTTGGAAGTAAAGTCAGTTGCTGCTTCCACTGATGGAAACAAAGATGTCATCTCTGAGCATGTGACCGAATTCATAGAAATTCCTGTAAGTGTACCCGAAGATGTTATTGAGAACATTATTAAAATTGGCAGCTCTGATACTCAAGTTCTAGAACCTCTGCCTGTATGTGAAGATGATGATGAAGAGGAGGAAGAAGGTGATTATGAGGAAGATGATTATGATCTGAATCAAGAAACTTCAGTGCTTCATAAAATCAATGGAACTGTGTGCCATCCTAAAGACATATATGCTACTGATCAAGAAGGAAACTTTAAGTGCCCTGCCTTTGGCTGTATCAGGATATTTAAAAAAATTGGATTTCTAAATAAGCATGCAAGGACTGTACATCCAACTGATTTAAATGTACGGCAAACAGTTATGAAGTGGAGCAGAGGAAAATGTAAATTTTGTCAGAGGCAGTTTGAAGATTCACAACATTTCATAGATCACCTTAATAGACACAGCTATCCAAATGTGTACTTTTGCTTACATTTTAATTGTGGCGAGTCCTTTAAGCTGCCATTCCAGCTTGCTCAGCATACAAAAAGTCACAGGATATTTCAAGCTCAGTGTAGTTTTCCAGAATGTCATGAGCTTTTTGAAGATCTTCCTCTCCTATATGAACATGAAGCTCAGCACTACTTAAGTAAAACACCTGAGTCATCTGCACAACCAAGTGAGTCAATTTTATGGGATGGTCTTACAGACTCAAATCCTAATCATCAGGAAAAAGACTCATCTCGTAACGAGACACAAACTATTAGTCTGCCAGTTTCTACTAGCAAATTAAGGAACGATTATATGGAACCAAAGACATGTATAGCAAGTACAGAAAAGAAAGTAGACAGTTTAGCTCAGAATGGAAACGAACATTCTGATGATGCTGTTTCAGATACAAGCTTGATAGACCAAAAGATGCCTGACATAGAGCCAAATTCTGAAAATAATTGTACCACTAGTGATCAATTAATCAATGGACACAGTGAAATAGGACAGACACCTTTAATTTCATCAGATCCTGCTTTGAAAATTGACACAAATAGAACCAGGACAGAAAATGGTTCCATTTTACCGAATGTTGTACCACAAGAACTCAGTACCCTGCCAGTGTCTCAGGCACCTTCCAAACCAAATCTGACCAGTGAACAGACTTCATATGGCTTAATTTTAACAAAGCCATATGTCAGACCATTGCCTCCCAGTTACCTTGATGAACGGTATTTAAGTATGCCAAAACGCCGAAAATTTCTGACTGATAAAGTAGATGCCTGTTCGGATCAAGATAATGTTTGTAAAAAGTCAATGAAAAGATTAAGATGTGGCAAATGCCTGACCACCTACTGTAATGCAGAAGCACTTGAGGCTCACCTTGCACAAAAGAAATGTCAGACACTCTTTGGATTTGATTCAGATGATGAAAGTAAGTCTTCTGTCTTTTCAGTAGGTATATCTGGAGACATAGAAAATGCTTTAATAGATTTATATAGTTAAACAAATGAACATTGTATAGCACAAGTAATAAAAACCATTACTCTAAAGGTTATTGTAATATACATAATGACCATGAGGTGATAATCTTTTCCTGTTTTATAAATCAAGCAATGAAATTCACAAAAGTTAAGTACTTTGGGGTAGGCTCAGGCCAGTGAACTGTAGAAGAACACTTGAACCACAAGTCTTTCACACTCATTGATCATACTTTTCACTATTATCAAAAGCTTTTCTTTATTCCAAGTTTATTGTAGTGAAATGTCTAGAAACAGAATGATTATGATGAAAACATGTTTTCATCTACATTTCAGAATTTAAGCTTAGATGAACAGTAATAAAAATGAAAAATAAGCAAACAGTAATTTAAAAAGAAAAAGCAATGAAAGTTAAGCTAAGAGCAATATACTTTGAATGAAGAAGGGTATAAATTAAACAGAAATCTGACTTAGAATTTCATTTAAATCTATATTCAGTTTGAATTAACAGAAATGTTCTATTTTACAGGTGCCTGATAAAAATTGTTTCAGAAAGATCTATCAAGCAGTAGTATGAAAAAAAAAGCACTACAAGAAAATGCATCGTCAGTTTGCTATTTCCCTGATGGCCTTAATTTTAGAACGGTCTTGGATTACTAAAGATAAAATCAAAGCACATTTTCTATAATGAACTTATAGGAATGTGCAGTTTTAAACTCCTAAAGGGTTACTGCAGAACTCCCAAAGTACCAGCTATCCAATAAACCACACTTAAAATTAGTTTGTGATAATTTATAGCAGCATGTTCAGTTTCATATGTGTGAGAAAGGTGTTCAAGCGATTAGTCAGAAAGAAGAACCAACTATGGCCTTACAGAAAGGGAAGTTAACCCATTTTTTTTTAAAAGGTTGATTTATGATTAAAGTATTGTTAAGAATGAAACTTGTTTTCCTTTTATGCATCATCTGGTCATGTACTCCCTTCTGGTCAAACGGTGTAAGGAACAATTGCTATTTGGTTTGTGCTATAATTTAGAAACTGATTCATTAAAATAAAATTTGATTCATCACCATATTATACATTAAATATTGTAACTTGTTTCCAGGTGATTAGACAGGCAAGAGAAAATTCAATTAATGAATTTAAATGCCAACATTTTAAATAAAATTAAAATACATTGAAAACCACTCGCTTGCTAATAAGTTCTTGATAGGACCTTCCATTTTTGTAACAAATTATGCTTAAAAGGCAGCAGTGTCGGTTAAAAAGAAAAAATAAAGCCATCATTCTTCGTAAATAGGGTCAGCAAAAAAAAGACTCTCAAAGAGGTGGATTGACACAGCTGCAACATAGCATACGCATCAGTGATTGTGAGGGGACGGTGCAGAACTAGGTGGTGGTTGATTCTTTCATACAAGGGGCTGCCATGAGTCGGAACTAACTTGACAGCCCCTAGTAACAAAAACCATCAGTAACTGGGGAAACAGGAGGAATCTAAGACCATTTCAGGCTACACAGTTGAGGAAAACACTGAATTGCAAATTCTTCAATGTGAATAATGGTATAAGCACACTGGGATATTTCTATTTGAATATAGAATAGTATTAGGATAGTGCTTGGTGACTTATCATAAAGTCTTTAGGCATTAATGTGAGTTACCTAAGCACAGTCTATAAGGATAACTGGCTTAAAAAATATATATGTCAGCTATGAATCAGGAAAAATATTCATTGATATTATCCAATTAGGAGATTTAACTCCCCAAATAAGCCATACTACTCATGCTTTTTGGTTCAGTAGAGATGAATTTGATCTGAACAGTAATTTTTATATCTACAAAAATATTTGCATAAGAACATGAGATGTGTCGATGAATTCTTTGCCTTGGTGACCAGTAATTTTCCTAAGGAAGATTGTAACTAAATAGTCAATAAATTGTTAAAACAATACATGTTTTTAAAAATACCATTTGAAATTAGATGTTTTCTGCTTGTCCTTTCTTGAAAAGGGGAAGCCTAAGAACCTCCTCCTATCTAGTACAACTAGTATATTGTTAATCTGCAGGCATGAAAAGTACAAAAATGGAAAGGACATTTTTTAAATGGAGCTATTAATGCACCCGTAGCAACTAAATATATTCGGTTTTTCCAACTGATAACTCTTTTGTTCAAAGCAGATAATCTCATCAGGCCCTCCTATAACAAATTTCAAATTCTCAGCAATCAGATTACTGACAACTTGGGACATTTCTTCCTGGGTATCATCCAGACTTTATTGAATTAGGATTTCAAGGTCATTAAACAGCAGATGACCTAGAACTTTTTTTGTACTAATTAATTTATCAAAGAGTATCACTATGCAATTATGGTCAGAAGTTCATTCCAATACAATTTGTTGTTTTTTTTTGTTTTGTTAATGTAGCCTATATTAGGCTGTAGAATTTATATTTAAGTAATTAAAACTCAAGTCAGATTTCTTAATCCTTTCTGTCAACTATACAAAAAGTTTTCCATACTTTCTGACAATAAAAATATAGTAAATTCTATTTCAGTTCAGTTTTTAAAGTATCTGATGTAATAAAAAGCTCGTTTGAAACTTGTTTATTTGGAAATGTTTTTCTTGAACTATAGTTTTTGATTTGTACATTTTCCAAAAGTTTGAAATACCTTTTAAAATTTTATCACTTTTTTTAATAGAAGTTGTAACCACTGGCATAAATACATGCCCACAAATTTTTAACATTTTCATTAATTTCCCAGTTCACACTAAGATGCTTTTAAACATATCCCACTATTTTGTTGTCTTTAATTTGAGGTTTTATGTCTCCTTTTGTTCTAACAGAACGGTTTCTGAAAGGAGGAGGGCAAATTGGTTATATATAGCTAAATCAAAGGTTTGAAAAATTCTATTTGACCAGGTTTCAACCTCTATATATTTCTCCAATAATCTCTATTGAAAGAATATGTACATTTTAATATTATGTGTCATGTAAAACATCAACCTAAATCATTTTTGCTTTTATGGGGTACATAAACTCCCACAGTCCTAATTTGGAATTCAGAAGAAAGCTCTTTTTATTCACGGAATCTGCTGGGTTTCTTCCTACTTTGCTACTCCTGTTTCAACAATGTTGATCTTTTATGGACCAAATTTCAAACCCTTGTTTTTAAATAAAAATTTCCTTTAAGAAATTAAACCGTAATTTTCTACCGTGTTTTAGTGAGATCAAGAAAATAGCAAATCTGAGGTTTTGCTGCTTGGATGTGGTGGAGGAAGAAAAAGGGGCATTTTGTGGGCAAGGACACTGGTACTTTGGGCTTTAGCCATATTCATTTAAACCAATTAAATAATTTGAGTAGATAACTTAGAACATTCAACTTTGATTTTTTTTTTCCCCATCACACTGAAGGTTCAGCTGTACTCCTTTCATGTTTGGTTTAATACTGTATGGATGAAAACCTCAAAGATGATAGTGTTTATTTTTTAATTTATTAGGTACTGTAAAAACACTTCAGAATGATTAATGCTGCATATGCATTTTGGAATTGTTAACATGACAGATATTAAGATTCAGCAAGAAAGGAAATTTGTGCTTCCTTGTTGAACATTAAATTGTTTCACTTTGCATTTTATAAGAGTACAAGTTAAAACTGAGCCATTGAACTGCAATAAAATCAACAATAGTGTTTCATTTCAAGAAATTTTTTTGTATTGTACATAGATTTGTTCAATAAAACATTGTCCTTGTTGGTAATGAAGCGTTCAGTTTTATGTAGCAGATTGCTTCCCAAAGGAATTTGCTTTATTTAAAGCATATTAAATGCATTTCTATTATGTTTATAAGGAAATGGGCTGTTTTAGCTTCTTTACTACATTTTAAATTATTTTTTCAAACAATAGAGAAAAATAAAACTTTAAAGTTTACACAAATCCAAAATAGACAGTTTTTGGACACTGTAACATGGGTATATGTGGAAAATGCAAGTTAACAGAATTCTGGTTAATAAAGTTTCACATAAGTGGCTTCATTGTGATATATAGTAAGTGCCCTCTGCAAACTCAGGTGGAAGACCTTTCCGAGAGCAAGACAGTTGATGAATTCGTTAACTTTTCTTAAGTGAAAAACGTATAGTGCAATTTCAAAACAACAAAAGGAAAGAAACTATTTGCAACAGTCACGTGTAGATAATAGGATATAAGTGATGAAGTTACAAAAGCATTTCAGTGGGAAAATGCTTACAGTTAATTAAGAATTTGTAACCAAAAGTGATAGCCTTGGATACGAGGGGTCTTTTTCTCTTTTGGTTCAACAAAGGAAAACTTATTTGCTATAACTTAAGTGGTTGAGCTTCGTTACTGACAGGAAAATTGATCATGTAGAATAGACCTACCCAGCAAATCCACAAAAGAAAGGCGTGGCAGTCTGTTGTAACAATTATCCTGTGTAGCACTTCCACTGTCACACTGGGGTTGCTATACATTGAAATTATTTAATGGTACCTAACAGCTCATTTTGATGTGAAGAAATAGGATTGCAAATGAAAGTTAGTGAAGCATTCTAGATTTGAGAATTCTGTGGTATAAATCTTATTAATTTTAATAATAGACTTATTTTTAATAATTGACTATTGATATTCAAATGTATTGAGTTATTTAGTCAAAATTATAGGTACTCTGGAAGCAAGTGACTAAGAAGTTTCAAGATAGTAAATCATGTTGCCTTCCATAGCATAATTTAAGATTAGTAGTGATTTCAGGAATCCACTAATAGAAGGACATGATTTGAAAAGGCAATCCAATACTGCATTAAATAAAATTTTTTAATGGGACAAGTTCATGACAGTTTTGGATGTTGAACACTGGGGAAGTGGCTTTGTTTCTGTTACTGTATGAATCACAGCTACTTTGGGCCTATAAGAGATAAGAACAATTTTGACACCAACCAAGGCGCTGAAAGATTGAATAACTTGACTGAAGTCCCATAGCTAAAAATTAGGTGAGGTTGAAAAATTGGGTGACGCCTAAAACCATGTTCCATACTGCCTTACAATTTTCCCTAGAAATACAGAGCAGACGTGAACTGAATATATCCAAATGGAGTGTATAACACTTGGGGAGCAGTGATATAAGAGGCAAGATGAGTTACATGGCCAAACAGCTGATTAATGTTTTATTAGCTGCTACCCAGAACGTGTTAACAAATCCAAACCAAGACATTGAGTTGATTCTGACTCAAAGTGACCTAACAGGATGGAGTAAAAGAACTGCTTCATACAGTTTCTGAAACTAAACCTATGGGAGTAACAGTCTCATTTTTCTCGAGTGGGAACTGGTTTTTAGGTGCCTGGTCCAGCGTCATCCTCACAATTGTTATATTTTAGTATGTTGTAGCCAGTGTGTCAATCCATCTCTTCAATGATACTTTTTTTTTGGGGGGGGGAGGCTGTCCTTCACAAAGCATGATGTCCTTTTTCAGAGACTAGTCTCTCTTGACAGCATGTAAACTCACAAAGTCTCACCATCCTTGCTTCCAAGCTTTCTGGCCATACTTCCAAGGTAGATCTGTTTGTTCTGGCAGTCCATGGTACTTTCAGTAGTCTTCATTAGCAACATAATTTGGATATAGATTCTCCAGTTTTTAAAAAATTTCACATGCATATGAGATGATTGAAAATACCATGGCTTAGGGTAGGTGCACTTCAGTCTTCTAAATGACACCTTTGCTCTAACAAAAAGGTCTGATATTTGCCCAATGCAATGTCATTTGATTTCTTGATTGCTGCTTCCATGAGAATTGATTGCTGACCCAAGCAAGATGAAATTCTTGAACACTTCAATCTTTCCTCAGTTTATCATGATGTTATTCTATTGGTTTGGTGGTGAGTATTTTTATTTTTTTCACATTTGAGTTGTTCGGTGAATTAGCTGATAGTTGGCCACTGGAATGACAACTGTCCACAATCCAAGTGCTTAATGGCCATATGTAATGGCTATCTTGAAAGGACCCCTGGTGACATAGTGGATGATACTTTGCCTGCTAATCACAAGGTCAGCATTTCAAAACCACCAGCTACTCTATGGGAGAAAGATGATACTTCTACAGTCATAAATACAGTTTTAGAAACTCACAGGGACTTTTCTACATTGTTTTAAAGGATCCCTTTGTGTTAAAACTAATATCACAGTGAGTTTGAGAATATAGTGGGCAGTACAGATACAGAACATTTTCATCACTTCAGAAAGTACTTTTAGACATTTGTACTTGTCAAATCCCTATAACTCTGTGCCATTTGTCTGACTCCTTCAATCCTTAAGGTAATACCAAAGCCATTGCTAGGAATCAGTACTGACTCATAGCAACCTTATATAGAGTAATACTGCCCCACAGGGGTTCCTTGGTTGTACTTTAAGGATAGATTGCCACCTCTTCCTGTCCCATCTAGTGGGTTCCAATCTCAGCTTTTGCTTAGCAGTCTATACTGCACCAGAACTACTTAGCATAGTAATCACTTCCAAGGAGTCCATGATATCTGTTAAGTAGATGTATCTCAATTGCATCCATGTGGCTTTAATGTTATTTCAAAGACTACATTTGCAATGTGTCTCATGATATATTTAGCTGATACAAATAGGGACACACACACACACACACACACACACGAACTTAAAAAAATTCATGGGAAAATTCTATTTTCCAAATATGTATATGTATATATATATATATTCAAACTTGCCCATCTGAATTTGCAGATATGTATATTTCAGCTGCTAAATAGAAATACCCAAAATAACAAAATACTACAGTGAAAATAGACAATGTGTCAACACCAGTGGCAATGTATTAAATACAGTCTGATTCCTCCGGAGGGTTTAGTACAGATGAGCATGGCTATTTCCCCTTCGTGAATGTGGGTTGCCTGTCTTACTAATAACTAAACCCCAAACCACTCACTGCTGTGGAGTCAATTCTGACTCTTGGCGACCCAATAGGGCGAGGTAGAACTAACTCTGTTGGTGTCTGACACTTTACTACAGGAGTAGAAAGCCCAGTCTTTCTCCTCCCACCATAACAGCTAGTACTCATGGAGCTGTCAATTATCTCCCACCATACTGATCAATAGCTAGTATTTATTGAGCTCTTTCTACGATGGAAGTATTTAAACTCCTGATAAAAATGATGAGGTAAATGATATTTACCAGATATATTTAAAGATTAGAAATTAAGGGACAAACGGGTGCTTGCCCGCTGTCAGAAAGTGACCTTGGCAATGTGGCCTTCAAGTCCCTAAACTTCATGAGATTTGTACTCTCCAAGGACAATTAGGCAAGAAGCAAGGCAACACCTCATCCCCGCTTGTCTGCAAGGATCACAAGTATGAAGGCGGGCGGGCACGAGGTAGGGTACGGTTAAAAAACAAAACCTTTCATAGCACAATGTTAAATAGGACCAAACTATTTGAACACTGAAAATTACCTTAGCGTATCAAGCCCCGCTTCCACAACTCAAAAGTGCTCGGGACGTGGTGGGGGTCGGGGGGAGGGGCGGACATCCAAGACCGTAGGGACCCCTTCCATTGGTACGTCCGCCGGGTCACGGGCGCTTGCTACACCGACCAAGGCCGAGCGCTTTCCGCGCACCGGCACCGCGCCGGCCTGCAAGCCTCTCGTTTGTAAGGCTTCTGGGCGAGATCAGGGAATCCCTTTTTGCAAGCCGTTCCCCTGCGGGACGTCAGCGGTCTCGGGGTAGACGCTGCGTTTTCCCACAGGGCAATAGGCGGGACCGGGCGGAACGGCAAATTGGAGCCCCGCCTGCCCGGAGGGACCTTTTTGGCGAGCACTTCCGCTCCGGGCTCTAGAATCCCGGAGGCCTTCTGAACGCGAACACCGAGAAGGACACTTCCTGTGTCTGTTGCCCAGGCGCCGCCCTGGGGCGCCTGAGAGGCGACGTTGTTAGCGTCGTCCTCTCCCCCCTTTTTGGGGGTCGAGATGTCGGGGCTCAGCCAGCCAGAGATGGAGGGCTGTCGTAACCTGCTCGGCCTATTGGACAACGACGAGATCATGGCCCTGTGCGACACCGTCACCAACCGCCTGGTGCAACCCGAGGACCGCCAAGGTAAGGGCAGGACTTCCCACCCGGGTGGCTGCCTTTCCCCCTAACTCCACCCAGACCTTGACTTGCGGGACCCGGGGGGCAGGTCGGAGGAACCTGGGACCTGAAGGCGCCGGAGACTCCCCAGGCCGCCTCTGCCTCCCGGCTCGGGGGCCTGAAAGCGGACCCCGACAGGGTGGGACTGACAACACCCCGTTTCCAAGTTGTATCCATTACATTTTATGGACGAACGCCTGTGCTTTCGAGGAGTCCGGTTACGTGAATAGCCATTTTATGCAATGTCCTGGGGACCACGGTAACTTTCTCTTTTCGATTGGATTAGCTGAGGCCTGTCAGCTGCTACTCCGGCGTCTCCCCCCCCCCCCCCCCCCCCCCCCAAGCCTGTGAGAGGGATATCAGAAGTACTTTTTATCAGTCTTCTAGGTAAAACAGCCTCTAAAAACAGACTCCATAAAGAGAAGAGCAGGAAGTTTGGAGCCATGTTTCTTATGGTATGAGATAATTTCGTGTGTGAAATTACTTTCAAAGCCAAGTAAACATCCGGTAGAGCCCCAAGGTTATTTAAATGCCTAATCGGTGATTGTAGAAGCAAAACCAAGTTCTCAGCCTTCGCGTGAATGCCATCTCGTAACGACCCTGTAGGACAGGATAGAACTGCCACTGAGAATTTCCCAGACAAGAGATCCCTCTTGCTCGCGTGGAGCGGGCGGTGGGTTTGAACTGCCGAGCTTGCGTTTAGTAGTGCAACGCATAACCCACCACCCCAGGGCACTCCTGTAATTGGTGACCAGTGTGGGGAGAAAGATGCGTTTGAAACTTTGAACCCAGACCCTTAGACTGAAATCGTTTCAGATTTATGTAGCTCGTCAGGTTTTCTATGCTTGACATGCTCCTCATCCTTTGTGAATGTGAATTTAAAATTGTAACATGAAAATGAAATCTGTTATAGTTTATCTAAACATAAATTAAGGGAGAAGCCATACTTGCCATTATTAAGAAAATGTACAAAAGGTTTTAATAGACGTTTCTCAGAAAGGAAAAATAACAAGTACATGAGAATGTTTTGAAACTGATTGTGCAGTTGCGCAATACTCCTTGATGTGATTGAACTATGGGATGATAGGCTATCTGTATTAACTCCCAATCACGTGATTTTGGAAAAGAAAAAAGAATTGATGTGATTAAAATAAATGATTGACCAAAAAAAAAAAATCACTGCATACTGGTGATTAAATGAAGCAACTTTTTAAAAATTGGGATTTAATACATATATTATTCCATAGTTCAATCATGTCAAACAGAATTGTACAATTGCTACCACAATCAGTTTCCAAACATTCTTTTTCTACATGGACTCCTTGAAATTGTCTCCCCTTCACCCCCCACACCACCAGTGTACCCCCCAGCCCGCAAAACTCTTATTCTACTTGCTGTCTGTAGGTTTGTCAATCCTGGGTCTCATATGCTGATAAACAGAAAAACATAACACAGCTTCAAGAGGGTGACCTCCAATGACCTGGCATGTTGGAAACTAGATCAGGTCCAGCAACCAGGGACTATGAATTGAGTATATAAGAACCAGCTTTATCAAGAGTTTAAGAGGGAAGAAAATGTTCTGGAACTGGTTATACAATACTGCTTGATGTGATTGAACTATGGAATGGTATGATGCCTGGATTAGCACCCAATAAAATGGTTTTGGGGAAAAAAACCATTATTTGGTAAACCTAGTCTTTTTTTTAGACATTTATTTAAGAATGGCTAAGTGGCCCAATTCTGGCCAGTGAGTGGTGAAAGAGAGTTCACAGGAAAGATCCTATTATGTTTTTTTAAATTATTAATTGGGATTTATATATCAATCCATAGTTCAATCAAGCAGAATTGTACAATTGCTTCCACAATCAGTTTCCAAACATTCTTTTTCTTCCTGGACTCTCTGGACCCCCCCACCCCCAAATAAATCAATAAAGCCCCTTATTCTGTCCCAATAGGCTCATTAATTCTGAGTATCATATACTGGAGAACAGAGAAACATACAACACAACTTTAAGAGGGTGACCTCTAATGACATAACACCTCTGAGTTACACCCTACTATCAAACAAACACAAAGAAAACAAAATACAGAAAATGTTGAAAACCAGATCAGGTCCAGCATGCATCAGACGGGGGACTGACAAAGTTTTCACTGTTAAGTCAGGTTTATCCCATTGATCTTCTGTAGTCATTTCTCAGATTCACTCAACTTCAAAAGGGTGACCCTGAGCTACTTGTTGACAGCACCTGGAAAAGTGTAAATTACATCTATCGATTTGGAGCTCAGTTTTCAACTTTTTTTAAAATCCCAGCTCAGAAGATTCTTTTATCTAGAATATACACACTCTCCCTGAACTCTTTTGGGGATCTTTTTAAAAATGCAAATTCTGATTCAGTAGCTCTTGGATTGGTTCAAAAACACATTAACCAGCGAGCTCTCAGATAATGCTCATGCTGCTTACCCCTACGTGCATGGAGAGGCTTTAATGAGAAGGCTCAGCGGAATGGTGCTGGTAATAAGACAGTGCACAAAAGACCTACAGAAGGGTGGTTTATAAAACATTCAAAACATACCAAACCGAATAAAAATGTTTAGGGACACGTATTTGAGCTGTGCTACTGTACTGTTGTATGTGTCTTCAAGTTTTGCTATTTTTAGAGTGAATAAAATAGATTTCAAAAATACCTGTACACTTAAAATATTGTAATTTATACATTTTTATGAGTTGTATATGAATTTATGTCTTTACAGCAATAATTTTTCTGGCAGCATTATACTTTCAAAATGAAGTGCTTTGAAAGTATTTTGACAGACACGTCTATTGTCGGAAGGAATTTTAAAAATTAACCTCTCCCTGCTTTTAAAAAGTAATAATGGCATAAACAATAATTATAAGGGTTTATTAGTAGAGACCTTGAAAAAAATTTACAAGTGACTCGTGCTATTTCTATTAACTTTTGCTAATTTTTTTTTAGATGCTATTCGGGCAATATTGGTCTACAGTCAAAGTGTAGAAGAACTTCTGAAGCGTAAAAAAGTCCACCGAGAAGTAATATTTAAGTACTTGGCAACACAGGGGGTAATCATACCTCCAGCTACTGAAAAACATAATCTCGTTCAGCATGCAAAAGAGTACTGGAAAAGGCAATCACAGCCGAAACTGAAAGACACACCGGAGCCAGTTGCGAAGAGAGAAGCCCTCCAACTCTTTGAAAAAGTAAAGTAGATCTTATAGCTAACCATTGTTCTGTTTGAAATGGTCAGATGATCCTAGATCTTGAGGGAGCATGGTTCATAAAATTTTATTGGTGTTTTATAACTTCGGCGTTAGTGTTATTTTAAACCCTCTTTTAAAAAATGTCTGTGGTATCGCAGACATTCGCTGGGAAAAACTGTGAACAGGAATGCAATTGATTTTTTTTAGGAACTAGATGAAATGCTTTCCACTGTGTAAGCTTGGCTATTCCGGTTTCATTGTTCCTCCACTGAATTGAATGTTTTTTTAATGAACCTCTGCATAATCTGTAATTTTAAAAATTACGAACCACACAGTTTTAGGGCGAGAGAACATAAAAGGAAAGCATCTTCTAAAGGTTTTCGTACTTACTATAAGGAAAGGAGCATTGGCACTGAAATTACATAAGAGTGGCTTCAAGATTTTGTCTTCCGTATACTATGTATGTGGCAAATCCCTCGACCTTCTTCATAAGGGTGCGAGGTGGCCTGTTGTGATGATGGAAGGACATGGCTTTGGAAGTGCCGAGCAATTGAGGGCATTAAGCGCTGCAATGATTAGTGTCTAGCCTGCCACATAATATATTTGTAGTAACATTTCCTTTGAAAAGGTTGAATTAATATAAAAAATTAATCCCAGTGGTAGAGGATAATGTATTTTGAACACATTGGAAGTGTTAAATAATAAACTGTTAAGTGTCTAAAGATGTGAAAATCCTCAAGTTTTATTGAGGTATAATTTATATGCAATAAATTGCATCCATTTAAAGTAAACCATTTGATAAGTTTTAACACATATGTGTGAAACTGCTATCATAATTGAGAAATGGAACTATTCTGGCAGAGTAAATGATCCTATAAATCAGTATTAACCATTTGCTTATGCTTCCATTTTAAGAGGCTTTGTTAATAAGTTAAATTTGTAGCTATTAAACTGGGAAGATTCCAAATCAACTTTTATCTTCTCTAAAAAAACAATTTTACTGTGTGTGCATGATGAATTCACTGAGCCCACGTGTAGTTTCTGTTTCTTTTACTATTATCAGTATATTCAAATTTAGTTCTGAAATATGCTTAATAGAAATGGGTATAATGTTTAGAGTAAGGTGTGTATTATATATATATTTTTTTTTTTTTCTTATTTTAATCAGCAGGAAACGCAAGATAAAAAAGCTGAAAAAGTTGATATTCGACGACTAGGAGAAGAATTTTGTCATTGGTTCTTTGAGCGTCTTAATTCTCAGAACCCTTTGCTGGGACCACCACATGCTGACTGGGGACCACAGCACTTCTGGCACGATGTCAAGCTCAGGTTTTATTACAATACATCAGAAAAAAATGTGACAGATTACCATGGAGCAGAAATCGTGAGCCTTCGTTTGCTATCACTAGTGAAAGAAGAATTTCTTTTTCTTAGTCCCAACTTAGATTCCCGTGGACTGAAGTGTGCGTCGTCTCCTCACGGGCTAGTTATGGTTGGGGTTGCTGGCACTGTCCACCGAGGGAACACTTGCTTGGGCATTTTTGAACAAGTTTTTGGACTCATCCGCTGCCCTTTTGTGGAAAATACTTGGAAAATCAAATTTATCAATCTGAGAATTGTTGGAGAGAGTTCACTTGCTCCGGGAACATTACAGACACCAAGTGTTACATTTGAGCCAAGTGATTTAGAGGCCTTTTATAATGTGATCTCGCTTTGTGGGACCAACGAAGCCCGACTCAATGGAAAGCAAACAGTGGATAGTGGAACTGGAGACCAAGCTTTCTGCACTGGAAATGAAGCACTGTTGAGCAAAAGAGAACTGAGTTCAGCTCAGAAGCACTGAGTATCATCGTTACCACAAACACCTTCTACACAGACACTTCCAAATACCGTCTCAGTAATGTCCAATTGATTTCAATTGCCGACAAACTGACATGCAAATACTTGCCTATTTCAACATGAGTTGTAGCCAGTGTTTTGAGAACATAATGCAGTTCATCAAATAAATCCCACTTAGATGTTATAGCTGATTGTGCGCCTTAGAAACAGGGGAACACTTTCATTTTACTCAATGCTTTTCAAGTGGGAAAGGATTAATAGTATTCAGAGCTTCAGCTTATATTTCTTCCTTGCTTTTGTGTAATTCTAGATAATTAGATATTTCACAAATGCATCTTACAACAGTATTGCAAAACAAAACAAAAAAATGTAGAGTTATATGTCATGTTTTCATTTTAGAAAGCATGAAAGATAGGATGTTTCTAATGCAAAACACCCAATAATACAGCAATTGGAGAAAATACACTTGTTTAAATATTTGACAAATGCTTTTCAGCTGTCTGTTACAGTGCATAGGAAATATCTTAGATAACATTTAACATTTTCTGAACTATTTGGGGAATGATAAATGCTGTTCCCAAACAGACCTTATTCTTACTTAAGTCTTGACAGTTTTATAGAGCATTTTTGTTAGCACTTTGTGAAAGAGACATACTGTTGAAATTTTTTAAAAGATGTATTAGGTTTCTAACTTTTAAACAACTTATTCTTTCTTTTAGTTAATCTTGAAAGAGGTCACGAAAAACTGCAGTGTTTCAATATGTGCATGCAGACATGTATATAGATACATCATAAATTAGAATCATTGGGAGTTAACTGCTTCTAAATTTCTTTACTATATTTGAGTTACAGGTTGAGTTCCCAGATTAAATCCATAATTGCTCAAAGTTCAAAATCCTTACCACCCAGCAAGTGTATTTAGTTTTAATTTACAGAAGTGCTATTGGAAATTGTGAGAATGTATTATACATGTGAAGTTTTATCTAACTGCTCATGATCATCTAGTGTGATTGATTGAAGAGCGATGGAAGCAAGAGGAAAAAATGTCTCTTTTAAAAATAATTCTCTGCCGTTTATGAGGAGTGTAATCTGATGTGGCCTAAAACAAGAACCTAATAAAGGAGGGAAATCCCCGTTGCTTGCTGTAATCGTAGTGCATTGCTTAGATTTAATTTACGTTTGCCTTATTCGTAGATAATAAAGGTTAGGCTTCCAAAATAAAGCAGATGTTACCACTGCTTGCTAGACTGTTAGTGTGAGATAATTAGTTAATAAAGAAACAGCAGTTGACAAAAATAATTGCCTCTTACACTTTATACACATTCAGGTCACAAATCCACCTTTACCCTTTCTATGTTTATTGAGAGAATGAGTAACTAAAGCTAAATTGTTTCTTCTGCCTTAAAGCCTCCACTTATTAAGTGCAATAGATATATATCCTAAGTTAAGGATAAAATCTTTAAAAAACAACAACAAAAATCTGTTTTCTTTGTGCAATTCATGTCAACTGCTGCATAGATGATACTGAATTACTTCTAGTTATCTTAATTATTTTGTATCAATAAAACCACAGTAAGAGTCCAACCGCTGCATTGTTACTTGTAAAAAACACCAAAAGTTCCTGATAACCCAAATTTCTTTAGAATTGAGACGGTTTAATTCATGTGAAGGTTTAATGTTTGAAGAAATTGGTGAATCAGTATAGAATGCTTACATACAGTGAAAAGTGTTCCTTCTCTAGATCTAGGCTTGTCAGCAGGGGTGGATTGTGGTCACACAGCTCATTTGCATTTCATATGTGAATACACGGAAACTTTTAGACCCCAAAGTAACTTAGAATTGGGAGACTCGCCCTAAATGTACTATTATATTATTGTTTACAGGGTCTTTCTGATTTTCCTCTTATTTTGAGGAAGTTTATCCATTGTTTATTAATTTCAGCCCAAGTTTAAAATTTGTTCTCATTAGAATCTACTTCTTTTCTGTTAGAATGTTTCCTATGTACACTATTCTATTTATTTTGTAGTTGTCTTCATTGTCAGTGTGATCACTCTGGTTCTTAATTTTCAGCCTTGTAAATTATTACTCTGTGGACTACAATAAATGGGTGGCGGTGTCTTATACGTTGATCTCAAGTTGATCATCTGTTGCTGGTGGGGATTTTCTGCTCAAAGAAATCTCCTTAGTATATTTTGTACAGTTGGCATGGTTTTTACAGATTTCTTTAATTTCTCCTTGTCTAGAAATATATTTATTTCTCCTTGAGGGGAAACTGTTTTGGATATAAGGTCCTTGGGTGTTAGCTTTGATTTTTAGTTTTGAAGTTTCGTGTCACCGTATTGCTGCCGTGTCTGCTTGGCTTCTGAAAAATCAGAACTTAGGCTTACTGTTTCCCTTTGTAGTAATTTCATTTTTCCTGGGCTCTTCTCCTGATTCTTTGTCTTTGATTTTGGAAAGAGTTCTTATGCTATGTTAGGGTGATTTCTGTCCTGGTCTCTGCTGTTTGTGTGCTTTCAGCTCCCAGCGGTGCTTGCTTTTCTTCTTTGACGACAGGGAAGTTTTTCCCACAGCTCTTGTACAATTGTCTCTGCTTTTTTGTTCGTGTGGTTTGATTCTTTTTCTGGTATTCCTGTCACACCTTTTTTATTCCACTTGCTGGTGTCTCACATCATTCTTATATTAAGATTTTTTGTTCCACTTGTGATTGCTGTCTTACATTGATATGCAAGCCCACTAAGTCAGTCTTCCATGGTTTCAATTCTGTTGCTTTTGCAAATTATTACCTTTTCCTAATATTTTAGTATTGATTTCGATTTCTATTTATTGCTTTTGTATGTTTCTTAAGTTTTCATGTCTTTTGTCAGATTGCTCTTGTATTTTCCCCAGGTTTTTAAATTTGGTTTATTTGTCCATTATGTGCTCCATCTTTTCCACCATCTGTTGAAAGTACCGAAGAATCATTCTTAGGAATTTCTTTTCCCCTAGTTCCAATGCCTTAGCTTCCGTAAGAAGGCCCTCTAGCTCTCTATATCGATCGCTTCTTTGAGTCATTTTGGCTTTGTATGAACTAAATTGTCTGTTTTCTCCAAGACTTCATTTTGGTTTGTTATTTGATAACCAACTGCTGGGTATGTTTGTTGATAAGATGATACTGGAGTGGGTGGTAAACCTTGCCCAGTAGGTATAGCTGTTGGAATGTTGAGGGTGACTGGGCTGTATGGGGACAGTTGTCTCCATCAGATAGAGACAGTAAGAAGAAACACCAAGCCAGAACTCCAAAAACAGAGTTAAATTCACTGCCATCAAGCTGATTTCGACTCATCGTGACTCTGTAGGACAGGGTCCAACTGCCCCTGTGAGTTTCCAAGACTGTCATTATGGAAGTAGAAAGCTGCCTCTTCTCTGGAGGACCGGCTGGTGGTTTCCAACTACTGGCCTGGCAGTAGCAACCCACCATGTCACCCACTGCAAGCCCAAGGCTCTGCAGGCCAGAACTCGCCCACTTCCCGTGATTTCTTAATCAAGATCCTGCCCCAGGTCTGATGTCAAGGCACAAAAGGCTGATAGGGAGTTAAGGGTAGGGGTGACTTCATCCCTCTCGTCTCTCCTGGCCGTTGATCAGAACGCAAACAAATCCCATGCCAGAACTGGCAACTGCTTTTTGTCAAGGCCCTGCTCCACAGCTTACTTTTGTGGTTGTCAAGGCGTGTGAGTGATTAGGTGTGATTTTGCCTCGTGCTGGCAGTTTAAAAGAAAACCAACCTCCTGGTTTTTGCATCCTTCACTGGCACCAAGTCGCGGAGGAAGGGCGGGATTGTAGCTTCCATGGCTGCCAAGGGCTTGGATGTACGGGCTGCTGACCAGACACCAGGAGCTGTGGGGAACCAGGGACGCTCAGTTCACCCTGAGCCTCCTGTGGGGTGCAGCAGGCCTGCCTGGTCTTCCCTTCTTTCAGACACTGCTCGTAGCCTCGGGGCGCAGAGGGCTGCTGGCTGCAAGAGGGTGGGCCTGGTCACCTCTCAGTCAACCAGGAGGGTATGAAGAACAAGGAGAGGCCCCCTTGGGCGTCAGAAGTTACCCTGCACTGTGAGTGGAGCTGTTTGACCCAAGGCATGCTAGCGGATTCGCTGGTCTCTGCGGCATGGGTTCCACGACGTTCTCTGCCTGTGTGTGGTTCGCCTAACTCTTTCCTTCGGAGATCTAGAGCCCCGGGTTTTCCCTCTTTATTTGCCTTACGTCGTCGTTCTAGAGGGCCTGTGCAGCATGTCTTTCTAGGCTGCCATCTTGCCAAAAGTCTATACTAAATTTAAAAGCCTAGGTAGGGTTAGATGAAGTTATATTTGAGGATCCTAAGACTAGTTGGTGGCATAGTGCTTACGTATCAGGCTGCTTATTGCGAGGTGAACAGTTCTAAACTACCAGCCACCTCGCGGGAGAAAGATGGGGCTTTCTACTCTCGTGGCGAGTCTCCGACTCACAGCGGCAGTACCAACCCACCCTGTGCACTAGGGTCATTATAAGCTGTCATCGACAGTTTTGGGTAAGACTACCAAAACAAGTGTGAGGTTGGTGCGGGACTGGGCAGTGTTTCATTTTGCCCTACATAAAGTCACTGTGGGACGGAACTGATTTAACTGGTACTTAATAAGAACAAGATTAACAATAGTAGCCTAGCGTCGCTGTCAGTGCAGTTAGCTGAATCTATCAGCTGTAAAATTACAGCCGAGGAAACCCTATTGTAGCAATTCTGTTATATAGGAGGATCACTATGCGTTGGAATCAACTTGGCTTACAACAATGACAACGACAAGGGCTACCTGGAAGATACTGGAATATGGATATACAGGGTATGAAGACACCCTACTCTGAGAAAGAAGGCCCGAAAGAATTCAAAGCCAACCCTTGAAGTTTGGCGCAGGCCTTTGAGAAGGCCCAAAGCGCACTTCCCCAGAGTGCAGGGGTGAAACTACTTTCACTTTCACCCCAGAGCGATCTCACGGGGAGCTCTCATTTGCTTTGTTATATCTGGCTGGTACGTGCAAAATCTGTGGTAATGAACCCTCCTCCAAGTGCTTGTTTGGTTTTAGGTGTTTATTTGACTTAAATACCACGCTGTAGGAGAAATCTCTGCCTTGTTAAATCAACTTACAAATGGCAAACAAATAGGGCAGAAGATTGTGGGTTTTAAGAAAAGTAACCTTTTTTTTTTCATGCTTTAAAAAAAGGTTAGTTATATAGTCCTAGTAAGAAATTGTACCAGCACTTGAAAGGCATTTAAAGCATTGGAGGTTGGGGGTGGGGGGTTATAAAAGAAATACAGATAATTAGAAGCATTTTACTTGAACAAAATGGCTCTTAGGACTAAACAGATCATTAATATGAATGAAACAATACCCTAAAATTTTCATTAGCACCTCTGCTTTTACTCATCTAGATATCTCTTTGTTCATTCACAAGTTCCTGATTTGCGTTTGGGGGATGGTAGAACTATTGGTGAGAGATGAGAGCTTCATTCTTTCTCCACAGAAAACAAAAGATTTTGTATACAGCATTACAGTTTTTGCATAGGGAGGTTTATGAATCTTCCTAAAGCACATTAATGTGTCCTAAAGGAACCAATATTCCAGGTTAAAAGTTATGCCACAGTAGTTATATTTTCCTCAGCCTCAACTGGATTAAAAATTTGTTTAGAAAGGTTTATGTCGTCAGAGTTCCTAAACTAGAGGATTAAACCTTTCTTACAAATGAAAGGATGGTTTCTTTGGAAAGTTTGTTAGCTTATGATAATCGTTGTGAATTTTGTTTTTCACCAAAAATCATGCCAAGTGGAATGCAGAGTTAGAATTCCTTTTGTTTTCACATGAATAAGGACTGTGCTTCAGAGAAAATGAGAAAAGTACAAAGTGAAAAAGATTTAAAGTACCCTTCAATTAAACAAAAAACAATTTTCCAGATCTTTTTTACTTAAATTTTTATCCAGGAAAGATATATTTTTAGTATTATATTGCTAGTTTATTTTATTGAAAGATTTTTATTTTATTGAAAGAAAAGTAAGCAGTTTTCATCGTGATCCCACTTTTAGGAAGACGCTTCCCCAGTTAAAACCTTTGTATATACTGAATTTAGGTGCAGATAGCAAGCTGTTGTGATGGAAAGCACATCTTTGTAGATCTGTATTTTCTCCTAAGTTCGTTTGGCATATGTTTATTGAGCATCTGTTCTATGTAAGTGCACTTAATATGTCAGTAGACTATTAACCTGATGGTGCAATGGTTCAGCACTCAGCTGCTAACCCAAAAGGTTGGCTGTTTTAACCCACCAGCAGCACCACAGGGAGAGGGTCTGTCCACAGAGATGAAGGGTTGGGGAATCCTGTGGGGCCGGTTTACTTTGTGCTGTGGAATGGAGTGTGCAGCACACTGTAGGCTGTAAACTTTCACTTGTGTTGGTGAGTCCTCTGTTGAGTTCACCTGACAAGTCTCTTGGTTAGGTGCTGAATGGTGAGAACGGACCTTTTGCAGGAGAGCCGGGATCCATCCTTAATTTTTGCATGATGAGAGAAAAGCTTTAAATTGAAGTGTTAA